TTAATGTCACTTATATAAGTCATTAAGTAACCTATATGTTCTTCCAAACTATGTTTGCAAAATTTGAGCGAAATCCCTAGAGTCGTTCTGGAGATAATATCAAACAAATATCCATCCATCGATCTAAACCAGTGGTTCCCAAACTTATTTTGTCTACTGCCCACTTTGAAAATAAACAATTTTTTAGCGCCCTTATTAAAGTTTAAGCAATCTTTTAATTCGTATTAGTTGATGTTCACAAGTTGTAGTTGAGAGTCGAGAGCTCATGCAGACGTTATCTAAGAGGCATCTTAGCTAAATAAAATTACAAATCACCCTCCAGGCCTCTACACAACGCCCCCATTTTCTTTCTGGGTCTCTTACCGCCTAGTGACCTACAGCGCCCACAAGGGGGCGGTAACGCCCCCTTGTGGGCGCGTAAAAAACGTAGGCCACTTTAGGAAAGACTGATCTAAACATTCGCATTTATAAAATTAGTAAGATTATTAAGATTTGTAAGATATCGATATATAATATACATGTGGCGGATACACACACACTGACATAAACACACACCCACACACTTACATCCATCAATACTATCATTCCTTACATTTACACATTCATTCAAACATTTATTTATTTCTTACATTTAAAAGTAAATAACAAATTTAATATTAACAATTACATAAAAATAATACTTTTTATTTCTATTATATTATTTGAAATATAAACAAAATTTTGATAACTTAATATGATTATAACGCCCTCTAGTCGATGCATCGAAAACGCTTAGCGTGAAGTTTGCATCGATTCGTAATGCATTTAAAAAATCACTTGTCACGACCATCTTTGATCTACTGCAACAATTATCTCTGCATCTTCCGTGTTATTAAATGTGTTAAAGTTTGGATTACGATTTACTTCTGTGATTATTTAGTTTTGTTTAGTTAACCTTCTGAACTATTAAAATTGTGTGGTGTGATTAAAAGAGTGTTTAATTCCGGCAACGGACTGCATCCTCAAAGAACACTCTCACTTAACCCCAAACTGGTGACCCCTAAAGTGAACATTTAAATCAAACTAATTAAAAATGAGTAGTGATGGTGAAGAAAAATCTGATTACGGCGCGCGAGTGACGAAGCGGCGAGTGCGCGTGCCCATTGTTATGGACGATAATTCAGACATTTGCCGTGTTAACGTAAGCATGCCGCCATTTTGGCCTGAAAAGCCATTATTATGGTTTAGTCAAATTGAAAGTCAATTTTGCATATCGAAAATAAAAGATGATGATATAAAATTTCACCTGCTTATTACAAACTTGGACCGGAGATATATAAGTGATATCGAAGATTTAATAACATCGCCTCCAACGACCGGGAAGTATGAAAAATTAAAAAGCGAAATTATTAAACGGCTTTCCATTTCAAAAGAAAAAAAATTAAGACAACTACTCCAGGCCGAGGAGATGGGCGATCGCAAGCCATCGCAGTTTCTTCGACATCTACAGCATCTCGCAGGCCCCAACATACCGGAAGATTTTCTTAGATCATTATGGATCGGTCGACTTCCAAGTATTCTACAAACTATCGTCGTGTCCCAGATGAGTATGCCCCTAAGCGAAGTAGCAGACTTGGCAGATCGAGTACACGACATCGCCCCAGCTTCACCCGTTGTTGCAGCCACATCATCTTCACATGACAGGTTGGAACAGACTATTGAGGCCATGGCTCGACAAATATCAGAACTGAAGACGCAGGTCAGTACCATTAATTCTAAAATCGACGACCGCTCCCGGCCACGTCATAAACAAAGGTCACGTGAACGCAGCCGTACGCCGTCGAGAAGATCACAGTCGTCCTACAGGAAATTTCCTACCTGTTGGTATCACTCCAAGTTCGGCAGCCAGGCGAGACAGTGCATACCGCCTTGCGATTATAAGTCGGGAAACGCACCGGGCAGTCTGTAATGGCGACGGACGACTGCCCCACATCAACTACTGGTCGCCTATTTTTAACTGATAGCAGATCGAAAATGCAGTTCTTAGTGGACACAGGAAGCGATCTATGCGTTTTCCCCCGATCTGCGCTTAAACAACAGCGCGACAAATCTGATTATGTACTGTGTGCGGCTAATGGTTCTACTATTTATACTTATGGTTATGTACAACTTAATTTGAACCTAGGTTTACGCAGAGATTTTATATGGCGTTTTACTGTTGCTGATGTTACAAAAGCTATTAT